TTATGGCAATAACAGACAAGGTGATGAAAGGGTAAGAAATTGTCCTGTACGAATATAAAAGATCATGAAGCAAAGAATTTAACATGGAACAGCTTGCCTCATAACATCAAGCCCTAATACTTATTTGATTTGAAGAGATAGTGTGTCCTAAAGGTAAGACAGAAAAGTTCAACATGAAAAGTTAAAGTGAAAGATAATGGTTGGAATAAGCTATATTACTGAAAAGGGACCCAATTATGCAACCAAACTAGAAAAATCATCCTTTAAAAAAAAAAAAAAAAAAAAAAAAAAAAAAAAAACACAGCTAACTGTTGGTACTATGCAGAATACATTGGAAGATCAGAGTTCCAAATACATGTATAAGTGGTGGGATTTTTTTTTTTTAAACAAAAACCTTTGTTTGGTTAGAAAACAAACTTTTGCAGTAAAGGTTCGGTTTCAATGGTCCAGGACAGATTCTCTGGCCAGAAAGAGACTGATGATCGCCACTACCATAAGTAGTTGGGGTAGTTACTGAGACATAAGGAACCCTCATATAAATCCCAGTTCTGTCTAAACTGGAGCAGGGACGTGAACCCAGGTTTCCTACTGCCCAGGTGGACTATTCTGATCTGGATAGCCAGTTGTTTCTCTGAAGTGTTTGAAGAGAGTGAAATCTCAAAAACATTCATGGGAGAGGAAAATAGTTTCCCACCCAGCTTTTATAATACGATCAAATGGAGCAGTATGTCCTCTTCAAGACCATTTTCTGGGAAGTCATATTATGGAACACAGATATTAAGAACAAGGTAGATGTGGCTTTTCAGTGTGCACATTAATGATGTTCACAACCAAGTATTCTCTGGTGACTACAGCCAGCTCATCATGAAAGTCTCCCTCTCTTCATTTCTTCAGCTGAAATCACTAAAATCAGTCAGTCTCTTATGCTGAAAGTTATTATAAAGCATTCTTTGGAAGGTGATGCTTTTAAGGGTGGTACAGGTTGGACTTCGTTGGTCCGGCACCCTCAAGATCTGTCTGGTCTTGGACAAGGGGATTTGTCAGACCAGGGAAGGTCCCTCCCCTTGTGGTTGTGCTGCCACCGGGCTAAGGCTCCAGCCTGCCCCTTCTGCTGCTTCAGCCCCCGGGACTCTCCCCAGCCCTGCTGCTGCCAGGGCTGGAGTGCCACGGCTAGACCTGCACAGCCAGGGAAGAGCTATGCAGCTGCCAGGCTCCATGGCTGGGGCTAGAGTTCTGCAGCCAGGGCACAAGAATGGGGCTTGAGCTCTGTGGCCTAGGCCAGAGCTCCCTGGGTGCCGCTGAGGCTGGAGCTCCCCAGACGCTGGAGCCAGAACACATCCAGAGCTCCAGAGATGGGGCCAGAGGTCCATGGCTGCAGCCAGGCTATAATTCCCTGGCTGCTGGAGCCAGGGAACTCTGCTGGGGCCAGAACTCCACACTATGCCATCTGTCCTCCACCCACACATAGAGATAGCTGGGAGCCCCGAGTGTGAGTCACCGGTGCCCCTTACGGTGCTCCTGCCCTGCCGCCAGTCCTCCCTCTTCCTGGGTTCTGTGATCCAGGAACATAGGTGGGTGATGCTGGACCATAGATGTTGCCGGACCAGGAAGCCACGGTTAAAGGAGATACCACCTGTAGCAAGCTTCCATCTTTGTTTTGCTTTTGTTACGCTAGCACACACTAAGGGTATGTCTACACTACAGCACCAATTCGAACTAACTTAATTCGAATTAGTTAATTTGAAATAAGCTAATTCGAATTAGTGCATCTAGACTTAAAAACTAATTTGAATTAGCGTTTCGCTAATTCAAAATAGCATGTCCACACTGAGCGGACCCTGAACCGAAGTTAAGGCTGGCCAGAACCAGTGCCGGTAGGGCATCAGGTTATGACTTAGAGTATGGAGATGCTGCCTCAGGCTAGCCGAGGGCTGTGCTTAAAGGGACCCGACCCCCACCCAGGAGAGACAGTTCTCAGGGTTCCCCGCTTGCTTGTCTAACTCGATAAAGGACAGCAAAGCAGTCCTGTCTTGGAGTGCCCTGAGTGCCCACACTCGGCACATCATAGCACTCGGCCATCAGCCCGGCTGCACTTGCCGCAGGCTGCCATCTGGGGGAGGTCAATCATGGGGCTGTCAGGATCCAGGAGGCCCTGCAGGAAAGCTTCCACCCCGAGGAGCCCGCAGAGCCATCCCAGTCCTCCCCATCGGCGGCTCATGCCCCATTCCTCCCTCACCTCCTTTCACTTACCCCTCCCTAGGCCCCCTTCCTGATGTAAAAAATAAAGGACACGTGCGTTCAAAAATAGTAACTCTTTATTTAACAAAACTGGGGAGGGGGGATTAACCTCTGGGGAGACTGGGAAAAGGAGGTGGGAGAGGGGAAGAGAGAGGGTGGGAGAGGGGAGGGGGAAACCTGGGAGGAGGGAGCTGGTAGTGGGAAGCCAGGGGAAGAAGGAGGAGGGGAAGTATCAAACTATGGTATGCCATATCTTCATACTCCAAGAAGGAGGAGGGGAAGTATAAAACTATGGTACGCCGAATCTTCAGTACTCTGTACAGATGTGATCTCCTCATCTCAAAAAAGTACTCCATATCTTGGAAAGGGTGCAGAAAAGGGCAACTAAAATGATTAGGGGTTTGGAACAGGTCCCATATGAAGAGAGGCTAAAGAGACTTGGACTTTTCAGCTTAGAAGAGAGGAGACTGAGGGGGGATATGATAGAGGTCTATAAATCATGAGTGGCGTGGAGAGGGTGAATAAAGAAAAGTTCTTCATTAGTTCCCATAATATAAGGGCTAGAGGACACCAAATGAAATTATTGGGTAGCAGGCTTAAAACTAATAAAAGAAAGTTCTTCTTCACACAGTGCATAGGCAACCTGTGGAACTCCTTGCCACAGGAGGCTGTGAAGGCTAGAACTATAACAGAGTTTAAAGAGAAGTTAGATACATTCATGGAGGTTCGGTCCATGGAGTGCTATTAGCCAGGGGGTAGGAATGGTGTCCCTGGCCTCTCTTTGTGGAAGGCTGGAGATGGATGGCACGAGACAAATGGCATGGTCATTGTCTTTGGTCCATCACCTCTGAAGTACCTCGTGCTGGCCGCTGTTGGCAGACAGGCTACTGGGCTAGATGGACCTTTGGTCTGACCCAGTATGGCCATTCTTATGTTCTAAGCTCAGGGCTCAGGGTCGAGGGTCTCACTGGACCAACTTGATTTTCATGCAAACCTGCTCCTGGGTTCGCATGCGGCCTTTGGTGGCCAGGCTGGCAGCTATCCTGCCCTAGACAGCTGCTTTCCTGTGCCTGCTGCGGAGATCGTGGACGTTGGAGGCCTCCCCTCAAGCCTCGATGAGGTCCACGATTTCCGCACTAGACCAGGCGGGCGCCCGCCTCTTGCAGCCCCAGGCAGGCTTCTGTGAGCCGCCAGCCCGGTCCTGGGAAGAGGCGGAGGGCTGGGTGGCAGCGGATGGCTGGGTCATGCCGTGCCAAGTGCAGGGTCTGCTGGCTGGATGCTGGCAGGCTTGCAACTGGCACAAGCACTGTAGCCAGACCATGCCCCTTTAAGGGCTCCGGGGCCGGGAGGGGGAGTGGCACCAGGGAAAGCTGGGGAGGGCTAGCCTCCAACTAGTTCGAATTAAGTCGCTACACAGCCCTTAATTCGAACTACTTAATTCGAACTAGGCGTTACTCATTGTAGAATGAGGTTTACCTAGTTCGAATTAAGCACTCTGCTAGTTCAATTTAAATTCAAATTAGCGGTTTGTATGTGTAGCCCCTATTAAAGTTAATTTGAATGAACGGCTGTTAGTTTGAATTAACTTTGCAGTGTAGACATACCCTAATATTGAGACAGATAGATTTTTTTGTGGGTGAAGCATGCTAGGGAGAGGTTGAAAAGTGAGGAGAGCGGGTGGAAAAAGAAATGTAATAAGAAATGAGCCAATCCATGTCACTGAACTCAAGAAGATAGTATCCCCTGCTCTGCAAGCCACAGACTACTGTAAGCAAGCAGCTGCCCAACAGGCAATGCAGACATTTCTAGAGCTTTGTCTATATTAGTCTTTTGTCTACCTTAGTTTAAAGTCACACCTTAAACTAAAACAAAATACAGGATTATGTAGCACTTTAAAGACTAACAAGATGGTTTATTAGATGATGAGCTTTCGTGGGCCAGACCCACTTCCTCAGATCAAATAGTGGAAGAAAATAGTCACAACCATATATACCAAAGGAAACAATTTTAAAAAATGAACAAATATGAAAAGGACAAATCACATTGCAGAACAGGAGGGAGATGCAAGGGGGGGGAGGAAGGAAGGTAAGTGTCTGTGAATTGACGATATTAGAGGTGGGGAGAGTGGGATGTTTGTGAGTTAATGGTATTAGAGGTGATAATGGGGAAGCTATCTTGGTAATCCCCCGTGCATCCCCCTCCTGTTCTGAAATGTGATTTGTCCTTTTCATATGTGTTCATTTTTTTAAATTGTATCCTTTGGTATATATGGTTGTGACTATTTTCTTCCACTATTTGATCTGAGGAAGTGGGTCTGGCCCAAAACTAAGACAGTGCCACTTTGTAATGCAGACTAGGGCTTAGAAAGGAAAATGCATCAAGAGGCTTCCAAGGAGTTTTATGCACACTTACCACATCGGTTTTCATCTTCTCCGTTGGAGCAGTCGGCCACTCCATCACACCACTGAGATGGTGACACACATGTTCCTGAAGATCCACACTGTATTGATGAGCCAAGACAGCTATTGGTCACTACAAGAGGATCGGCGTGCAAAGGAGACAGATGTGTGGGCATTAAAAAGGATCTTTAAGATAAGAAGTCAGCTACAAATGGTTATGATTTCTACTGAGTTTTCTGAGACAGTTTCAATTCCACCAAGGCATATGTTGAAAGACCTTTGGATTGTACAATTTGAGGAACACACATGCAAAAGAAATATGGGCAAGAGGGTTGGTAAAATGGAAGACTGTATACAGTAAACCCTTTTAAATGCACATTTATACAGCACATTTTTGACATAACACAATTTTCTTTTGTAACCCACTTTTATGTCGCGTGCATTAAATAGAAGGCTCCCAGGAGAGAGTTTGAGCGCAGAAGAGTGCTTGGGGTAGAGAGCTGAGGGCTCAGGGTTTCAGATCTAGAGGGTGCTCACCTTGGGAGGCTCCCCATACTTGCTGCTCCCGGCAGAGGATGAGGCATGGCCAGGCTGCTCTTCACACTGCCTCTGCCCACAGGTGCCCTCTGCCTCACCACCTCATAGTCAGGGCTCAGCGAGAGATCTGCCTAGCCATGCCTCCACCAGAAACAGCAGGCACAAGGAACTGTTTGTTTGCAGAGAAACATCTGATGTAAGCCCTGCCCCCCCAAATCCAGTACCCTGAGTTTGCTCCCACAATCCAATTCCTTGCCCTGAGCATCCTCCCTCATCCAACTCCTTCCCAAGGTCCACACCTTCCATCCCCTCTTCCACCCCCAACATGTGCAACATTGTCATGTCTGGGAATATAACCCTATTTTCCCCCCTCACTATTCTTCAGTTGATCTAAACACATTTTTATGTGTGTGAGAGGTCCCAGTTTATGGGATTCCAGAGAATTCAGATGAGTAAGAGGTTTCTGCTGAGTCAAGGACATTGATCAAATGTAAATATATTTGAAGTTAAAGGAAAAGACAACAGTAACACTGATTACAACAAATAATTAAGTTTTAAAAATTTAAAACAAGTTGCATTCCTAAAAGACAGGTAACAAAAGTTTTCTGTTCTAATTTACCACTCACTAGAAGATGAAAATCAAAGGCTCAACACATTTTAGCTTTGAACAGAAGATCTACCACCACAAACAACACATTCTTACCAAAATACCAGATAAGGACAGCTGCAATTACGGCACCAATCAGTAGTATTGCAATAGAAAAAATGATGCACAGAGTTTTCTTAAGATCTGCAATTAAAAAGGGAAAAAAAGAAGAGTTAGATTTACAAACAAATTATTGTATTAGCCTAGGTCCCATACCTATCTCCCTGCAAACAAACTCAGATGGACAGCTTTCAGTCTCTGCTATGCAGATGTGAATCTACAATTCAGATGTTCAATCACTCCATCTCATCATTTCACAGAACCACCCAGCTCTGCACACCTTTTACAAAAGAAGTACAATAGTAATGGATTTGGGTCTACCTACCACCCTCAGGGACCAAGAAGTGCTTCTGGGATACTCCCTCAAGATAAGAGTTTAAAGGAAATAAGTTTCATCTGTTGGACACATGCAATAAGTCTACATGAAAAGTAATCCAGACAAATCTTACTTGATGTGCACAGTTTCGCTGATGGCGGCTTTGGCTGTACTACTGGGGGAGCTGATTGAGGAGTAGGAACTCTTGGGACATAATGTGGCACTGATGGAGGATAATATGTAGGAGGGTATTGTGGATACATGTTAGTATTCACAGGCTGTCGGACAAAATAGAAGTTTTCTGGCTGATAGCCATGATTTTCATAGTATGGTGGTAGTCCCTAAATAGAAAATAAAGGTGAAAGTAAGGGGGGAAATAATTTCAAAGTTAGAACAATATAAAAGTTTCTAAAATACTTTGTGTCTTATGTAAATACAATGAACACCCAAGAATTCTCATTGCACAACATCTGGGATGGTACTTGGTCCTGCCGTAAGGGCAGGGGACTGGACTCGATAACCTCTCAAGGTTCCTTCCAGTTCTATGAGATCAGTATCTCTCATTAATTCAGAAATTAATTATACTCATGAACACAAAAAATAGATATACTCTTAGGGTTGCCAGGTGTCCAGTATTTGAACTGTACAGTCCAGTATTTGAGTTTTCTGTCCAGGAAACAAATTGAGAAAATACCAGAGGGGGTGGGGTGGGGCCAGGGCAGGATGGAATCCCCGGGACCAGACTCGCTCGCACGCCCCACCAGGGCTGTGAGCGGGACGGGCAGCTCCCCGGGATCTGTATGCACCCTGGTCAGCACTGCTCCCCGCCAGCTGGTTCTTCCCCAGCCAGCTGGTTCTTCCCCA